AAGCACATACGAGGAGTTTTATTTAGAGGAGTGGAGATCTAGAAAGCAAAATGATCGGTCGGGGTCGTTACAACTTAACCAAAAGTATGGAGGAAAAGAGTCGAAAAGAGCAAACCTCTTTTCTCAAATTATTTGATTTATATAAGATAAATTTTAATTGATTTTGATATCCTCAATATTATGAATGATTTCCTCTTTAGTAATTCAAGTAAGAAAGTACTAAATATTTAAAAAATAATAAAATGACTATTTTATCTAATATAAACTCAAATATTATCATTGATTTTCTCTTTAGTAATTCAAGTAAGAAAGTGTTAAATATTTAAAAAATAATAAAATGATTATTTTATCTAATATAAACTCAATTATAAAAGGATTAAAAAGATGAACAATATTCCACCAAGGTATTGAATTTTAACTAATTAGTTAATTCACATACTTTTCTCAGCATTAAGAAAAGTATTTTTTTTAATTCAAATTCGTAATATTAGTTCTTCCCAAATTTTAAATTGTTTAACTGCATCTACACTAATGTTTAGTTGTAACTATATTTTTGTCTAATAATAATTATTTGATCGAAAGATAGAAAAATCGGTTTGCGGTTCACTTGAAATTTTTTAGGTTATTTTAAAGTCCTGATATTAGAATAGTAATTAAATTATATTCTTTCAATGTAATCTATTTTAAACCATAAAAAATCAACCAACATTTACGTATATTAAATTCTAAAATTTAGTTATTTCTTTAACCATTTTATTAGAGTGATAAGAATAATACAACGAAAAATAGAAAAACTTGAGTCACAATGTCAACATTTATATACGTTTGGAAAACTTTAATTGGAGTGTGATAATAATCCTAAATATTAGGACCTCTTACCTAATTTAATAAGAAAACATTTAATAACAAAATTTTTAATTGATTTTAAAGTTTTAAATATTAGGAAAGTAATGAAATTACAATTATATCTAATGTGAAATATATTTTTAAGGGGTAAAAAAGCCGAACGACATTTCGCTAAGGTGATTCGTACTTTTAATATAGTACTAGCTTAGTGTACGTGCGTTACACGTGTGACTCGCGTCAAGTAAATATATGTGCAAGAACAATGTGTTTGACTACATACGTTTCATCCCGATTTTTTTTGCAATAAATTATCCTTTTATTAAATACACAAGAACCTAAGATATTATATTTTCTCCCATTTGGCGAAAACCCCAATATCTCTTCTCATGGGTGGAGTTGGTCTCACTAATACCCAAAGATAAAACTCTTTTTCTAGTTAAGAACCTCCACCACTAATGTAGATTTATCAAGGATAATTTTCACATGGTACATTAAGCAGATTTTAATGACTCAAATAAATAGACCATTTTATGGATCCTACTTGTTAATCATAATGCTCAATCATTGGATAGACATAATTTCACATGTATAAATTTATTAAGAATTTTTTATGAGTTCAAATAAACAAACCACTTTAATGGTAACTATTTATTTCTCACAAAATTCTCAATTTATGAGTGAAGAAACATATAGCTCATAAAATTATTTTATGGCAGATCATGGACCACAACTTAAAAGCCATGCCAATAATATAAAACTCATACAAAATACCATCATATTTCACTTAATTACAACCTCCAACCAGAGAACAAAATTTTTCATCATTTTTCCTTATCAATTTAGCATTGATATATTTGTAATAATTTCCATATATACTAACATTAGCTTGTATTACATTTTCAATTGTTGTAATTTAAAGGGGACAAAAATTTAGAAAACAATCTGAAAATTTATAGTTTTTGAATAAGAAAAATGAACATAGGGGAAAAAAATTTAGGTTTATTCTCACCATTTTAATCCCATTTTATTCTCTTTTTTTGAGTCGTCATCTCAAAAAAGTTTATCCAACTAAAACTGGCATGAGAACAATATGTAAATAAATATCAAATATGTGAATAAAGTTACAGACGAACATAAAAAATACTAAGCAGCATGAAGTTTAAATCAATAATTAAAGCTTAGATCATAAATTAGGATTATGTCATCATGCCAATAAAAAATTTACAAGAGCTATGAAATACATGGCACGTTAAAAACAATCTACAACAACAATAACAAAAAACTCAGTATAATCCCACAAGTCTGCGAAGGGTAGTGTGTACGCAATTCTTACTCCTACCTAAAAAATAAAGAGCTTGTTTTCGATAGACCATCGACTCAAGAAATGATGAAAAGAAAGTAAAAAAAACAAATATATTCATGAGATAAATAAATATCAACTATAAAAATATAATAGAAGAAAATCGAACTTTTCTATAAAAACCTATCCGAAAGAGAAATGAATAACTTTCAAAAGCCTATCCAACAATTAATAACATGAAATCTTACGAACAAATAAAATATTATAAATAGCAATACATGTGTAGAAATAAAAATTTTAAACCCGAAAAAAGGAAAAAGAGATTTTTGAACATGAAATTAATAGGTAATTTGTCCCGGTGACTTTATATTGTTGTCCTATGGGCAGTCAAATATGTACTTATTGTATTTTTTTTCTCTAACTTTTCTGTAAAATAAAATTTACTACACTCGAATGTTAGAAATTACAATTACACCAACATATTTTCATAAGGAAATCAATTCAAATCATTAGATTTTGATAAATAGTGGATTGAATTTAAATTCAGTTTTCCTTCTTTGGCCATGAATTAGAGCTTTATGTAGTTGCTATTTATGTATTTCCGATAAGAATATCTTTTAAAAAGATTTACCACTTGAATTGTGAATGAATAGAAAAGAAAAAAAAGTAGACTTACCATGAATATTAAATATTTTTGTGAAAGGATAGCCGTTCAAATGCCTACCAGAAAGTGTTAAGGAGTTTATATCTAATGTATAAATCAAAACTTATTTTAAATTAATTTACATTAAAAAAGAATATATTAGTAAAATTTTAGTTGATTTTAAGTTTTTTAAATATTTAGAATTCGTAGATAGTTTAAATAAGGAAAGATTTATAGCCAAAAATTTAGTTGACTTTAAAGTCCTAAAATATTAGGGAAATAACTTAATTACAGTTTTGTTTAGTGTGAACTCTATTTCTAAAGGGTGAAAAAGACGAACGACATTTCGTTAAAGACCATCATGCTTTTAATATAGTAAATAGATATAGATTATATGTCCAAGGCACATTTATGACTGGAAATTAAAGTATTTAAGTTTTTATGTTCATGCATGAAAGGTTAGATTGTTGCAAAGCTACATCAAAGGTGAAAACCACTTCGTCCTGGTTCTTTTTTCTCTCGTACTTGAACTCATATTGAATGTTAAAATTCTCTCCCTCCCTCCTATTTATTTTCTTTTGCCAAACATCTTTGTTATTACAATAATTATGAGGACAAAGTTTGTGAATTTTAATTTAATAGAAACAAAGATTAAAAAGAAGAACAACAACAACATCAGTTTATCTACTATAGCTGTTGGTAATTACCTTTAAGCAAACATGATGAATATTATTTGGTTATTCCCGTTACACACTTACTTGAAGGTGTATAACTCTAAGACTCAAAATGAAGAAGATTGTTATTCTCCACTAAGATAGGCAACATTATTTCTGAAAGAAAATTTATGTAATCAATTAAACGAATTAAAATACTTCTAAAAAGACTGTTTATATTCTCGTGCGGCAATGATTGTGAAAGCTTATTATTAAATAATGCAATAATATCAGAGTATGAAGAAGGATAAATAATACAACAAAAGCAATAAGGCATACTAAATTTATCTCATAGTTTGTTCTTGATTGAAAAAGAAATATGCAGTTAATTTTTTAGAGCGAATTCATGTAATAAAGAAAATAAAATTACCAGTAGAACGTGATCCTTCATATAGAGAGCAAACATTATGGTCGCACTAAAATAAAAGAAGAAAGTACTGCTTAAAAAATATTAACATGATTAGAGAAAAATTACTATCTAAAATTCTAAATTAATCAACCTTCAGAAAAAATCTGCTATCAATTATTCTTTCATGAGATACTACTAACCTGTTGTGCCAAAACGTGAATATGCAACTTATTAACAATTGCGGCGTTAATCGGGAACTCATGGATATGTTTTATTTATAGTTTGTGAAATTATTAGAGTTGAGTAGGTTTCATTTATTACAGGGGAACAAAGACTCCTATAAACCTAAAAGGAAAGGAAGGAAGTCCTAAAAATTAGGTAAATAATTAAATGTATATTCTTATATATTAGAAGACTAACTTAAATTAGTTAAAAAGACGAACGATATTTCGCTAAAGATTTTCGTATTTTTAATATAATATATATATATAGAGAGAGATTAAATATAATTTTTAGTATTGAGTAGGATATTTAGTTTTCTAGAAAAATGAAAAATGGCTTCTTTAAATCGCAAATGGATTCTTGATTTAAAATCTTCTTTACACAAAATAATTTCAAAATTCATGTCATCATCTTCTTCAGACTTTACCATTTTTTTAAGACAAACAGTAATAGCAGTATGATACCTTCGTCTTAGTTACCGCCATATTCCTTATCTTTTAGAATCCACCATTTAAATTAACTTTATACCGAAAGTTCTATCCTATAGCAATTTTACTTTATAAGGGGTTTATGGTTTGATTTTGAGAATAGACGATGATGACAACAACAACAAAAAATTTAAGTGGGGTCTGGGAGGGTAGAGTGTACGCAGACTTTACCGTTATATTTAAAAAGACAGAGAGACTGTTTCCGGTAGATCCTTGGCTCATGAAGGAAAACGGGGAGGGAAAATAATAACCAAAACCAATCTGACAACCGAAGCGAAAATACAAACTAGCACTAAGTAATGCAATCAGAAAACCAAAACTAAGGCAGCAACAAGTAATAACAAAAATCTAAGGAGATGAAAATACACGAAAGACACTAAGTGATGTATCAAAACTATTGTTACAAACAACGACAACACTCAACTACCTAACCCTTTACCTTTAATCTCAACCTCCACACCTTCTTATCCATGGTCATGTACTCGGTCAGTTGGAGCAACGCCATATCCTGCCTAATCACCTCTCTCCAATACTTTTTCGACCTGCCTCTACCTCTTCGTAGGCACTTCAACGCCAGCCTTTCACACCTCCTCACCGGAGCATCAATGCCTCTCCTCTTCACATACCCGAACAATCTAAGTCTCACCTCCCGCACGTTGTCCTCCAGACAGGCCACACCCATATTATCCCGGATAACTTCATTTCTAATTCTATCTAACCTGGTATGTCCGCACATCCGTCTCAGCATCCTCATTTCAGCCACCTTCATCTTCTGTACATGGGAGTTCTTGGCTGGCCAATATCCCGCCCCATACAACATAGTCGGTCTCACCACAGCTCTATAGAACTTATCTTTAAGTTTTTGTAGCACATTCTTATCACACAGAACACCGTACGTGAGCCTCCATTTCATCCATCCCGCCCCAATACGGTGTGACATCCTCGTCGATCTCCCCATTCATTTGTATAACAGATCCAAAGTACTTGAAGCTTTCTCTTCTAGGGATGATTTGTGAATCAAGCTCCACGTATTCGTTCACTTCCTGAGTCACGCTGAACTTGCACTCCAAGTATTTTTTGAGAATAGATATAACCCTTATACAACCTCTCTACCTTCACCGGTAAGGGCAAGATCTGCGAACATATTACCCTCCTCAAATCTCACTTGCGGGAATATACTAGGTCTATGTCATTGTTGTTATCGTAGACATAACCCTTATATTTGGGGTAAGGTTTCAACTATCTAGGAAGTTTATTAACAAGAGATGTATTTATAACATATATAAATATTACAAGGGTACTTTAGGTGATTCACTTTGAAATTAATCCATATATTAGTATCATCGTTACTTTACTTTTTTAAAGATATAAATAAAAATAAAAGATGAGCAGTATTACTCTGTTATTCCGTACAGAAGCATCACGTTATACCGAACCATCTCATTAGTTCGGCTTTGTGAAAAGGGAGTCGGGGAGTCCACCTATAAACTTATCCAAATGACACTTTTGCCCCACATATAAATACCCTAAAAGGGGTAAATCTGGTTTCATCAGTCCCATTCCAAACTTTCCCTTTAATCGAAGCTCCGTCGCGAAATTTTCATCCTCCGCCACTGCTAGTACCGTCGCCGCCGTTGCTGCCGAGGTTTTTTCCGCCGGCGTTTTTCACTCGCCTTTCTCCGGCGGTTTCGTCTTCTTTTTCCGATAAAGGTTAGTCGGATAACTTCATTACCTCTTCTCCCCTAACCCTTCGCTCCCCGTCCGCCTGTAAAGTCTTATTTTTGCTATTTTTTCGTTTTATAAAATTTCTACTTTGCATGTACACGTTAGATTCGAAATTTCGGACTTTTATCTTTTTCTTTTTTCGCGATTATTTAATTTCTTACGCTTTTTTCTGGAACTTTTATCCTTGCATTTGAGCTCCTGTACGAAAAAGTCAAAGATCCTTCTTTCAAGTGTGAAGAAGGACTCTTATTTAGTGAAAACTTTGATATCCGCTGAGAGAAGGGGTAGTGGGTAAAGGTCATGCAAGTAAAATCTTTGAGTTGTCACAAGTTTTTGGCACTTTTTTTTTTTTTTTTTGACAATGAGGGTGTCTGAGGCCAGCTTGAATGCACTGGTTGTGTGCTACCTCCAGCTAGCACAAGTACTCCCTCCGTCCCAGTTTAGAGTGGCAGTGTTTGACTGGTTACCGATTTTAAGAAATGCAGCTTGTGGTCTAAAAAAGTCATAAACATTTGTACGGCTTTAAATCATCTCATTAAGGGTAAAATATGAAGTTTAAAGTTAAACTATTTCTTAAAAAGTATGACATTCTTTTCGGAGCAGACTAAAAGAAAAATATGCCACAAAATTTGGACGGAGGGAGTACACTTTAATTCTCTAGTCAACAATGCTTAGGCATATGAGAAGAATTAACCTAGTGTAATCTCTGCTGTGATTGGAACCTTGATTCTCAAGTTGTTAGTTCAGCTATTCAATCACTAGGTCACCCCCGTTCGAGGTATTGGCACTCCTTTGTAGAAGGTCGCTTTGGGCAGAGTAGAATGCATAGTATCTTGGGCAATCCTAAGATAGGGTTTCCCCACAATGAAGCTGCCTAGGTATTAGGATTTCTTTTGAGCATGTAATATCCTGGAGTACCATAAGAAAGCTCCCCCACCCCAAGCTGACATAGAGTTTCTATTGGACAAATTAGAGGAATAGGGTCCGCTTATCAGCTGCATGAATCTCAAGATGAAGAACACTTGCCTTCTTCAAGAAAAAAATGATGGATGAGGCTATATATGGGCCCCTCCTCACTATGAAGAAGCAAGAAGGGTGTTGCTCTTTTACTTGGGGGCAGAAAGTAGTATAAAGGTCTAATCTTTTAATGCAACAAGAAGGCTTATCATGTAGTAAGATATATGGACATTCCTCTTGGTGGAAATAACTTCCAATCTGGAATTCTGAAGCTAAAATCAGTAGAAGAGCCGAACAACATAGCAGTCTACTTCTTCCTCTCAATCATGACTGATAAACAAATGTCTAGATGCACGCTGTTAAAGCATACCCTCTTCTGTTAAAAGCGCTAGTTGAATATTTGGATCTATGGTAAGCACCGCTCGATGTAAATTTCCCCACAGATCGAGCATGGGCATTTGGAACATCTGATCTATTAGATTCAGTAACAACCTGGGGATACTCAAGTTCCTTCCATGTCGAATTGCTTATCTCCATGCCATTTCAGTTATTCCCTTTATGCCATTTCCATATAGCTCCCATATTGTCTGTTACATCTTCAGGAAAAAGAGGAAAATAGGCCTACCAGGGCCACCTGAGATGAACTTATTGTAGCAGAGGGAAATAAGGACACATTTCAAACCAGTAAAAAACAGTGATATTGCTAGACCTGTAACAGTCTTTGGTGATTGATAGAGACCAGAAAGTCCTCTCCTTAGGCCTGCGTTCAATAACCCAACCTAGCAACAATGACCATATATCTCTAAGTCAAGCAGAATGTTCCTTTCAATTTGATGGGATTTGCTAAAACCAATCTGTTTTCATGGTCTGTAGACGGATTCCTTGTTCAAAGGTGCAAATTTGCAGATCTTTAAGCATAGATTTTTGATGTGTGCCCTTTTTATATTTACCTTTGGATGGTCAGAGCATCGCCCATAATTTGTTATGTGAGGTTAATTACTTGGTTTGGTCTCCTTTCTGATTTCAGACTAATTGTGCTACTTTGTGTGTTCATTTTATTTCCTGGTGGCTGTTATTTGGTGTATCAATTCACTTCTCAGAATAGCATAATGGCCATTAAATATTTCTTATTGTCACACTGAAAACATACAAGAATCAGAAATTTTTAAGGATACACATAAAAGACATGGTCATTTTTAGTATAAATTAGATCTATTGCGATCCAAATACTGATATTTTAACTTTAAGTGTCTAAAGAACGTCATAAAATCTGGCATTTGGTACCCTCTAAGTCGGGGGATTGTGATCATTCCGTCCGCTTCATTAATAAAATCACTTCTGAAGCAGTACTATCATTACAAATAAACCTAGAAACCACAATAGAAGGGAGGAAATCATGACCCTCTTGCATTTGACTCTGCTAAGCTTCTATCACTTGAGTTAAAAAAGAAATAACTTTTTAACTAAAAGTCTAAAACATAAGATATCCTTATCTTGAAAAAAAATGAACATAAATATTGCAATAAAAGAGTGATGTTATGAGTGGCCAACAATTTTAGAACTTAAAGATTTATGTACTTATTGATTTTTGATAGGTTTCAAGCTTAATAAGACACACATTGTATGACCGCATACGTATTTGGTTTTATGATCTTAAATATTACGGCTCCATAAACACCATATACTTCCAGGCTGATGGCTATCTGATTTACTATTTTAGTGTTTTGGCAGCTAGACATTTGTTTACACTGGATACTAATTCTACCAAGAAAAACAAAATAAATTTAATAATTTAAGCTGATCTTCCTATTTTTGATAGTTTAACTGATAAAAAAAGCAAGGCGCTTCATAAGCTCTATGTGTGCATGTTCTATAGCAGGCCCTGTACTCCCTCCATCGATTTAATGCCATGGTGGTTTACTAGACATGGGGTTTAAGATTTTAATTTGGCCTACTGTTTTTAGTAAAAGAAAGTATTAAAGTAGCTGGACCAAAAAACGTGTTAAAGTAGAAACTAATGCTCGGAAAGTAGATACGTAAGTTTAAAATTTAGATAATTAAATGAATTTGAATTCTTGAAAGTTGCAAGAACTATATAGAATAATATTATTATTGATATGGTGTCAAATATTTTGTAACATCCCACAATAGAAAGTGTCATGCAACTCGGAACAGAGAGTACAATTTGTTCTGCGTGAACTGGAGACTGGAGTTTACACGATTGAGATTCTTTTTCCTTCTTGGTTAGCTAGTGTTAGATAGTTATGTGTAAATAATCCTAGTCCCATATGTAGTAGGAGTAGAATATATCCTAATCCCTTATGTAGTAGGAGTAGAATATGTCCTGTCCCATATGTAGTAAGAGTAGAATATGTAATATATATGGGGCAAATTGTATCATTGTTAAAATAAAAAGATTTTTCTCCCGTGTATTCTCGCATGGTATCAGAGCTTCAGTGAGAAAATTATCGTTGTGCGTCATTCCAGTGACATCCGGGAAGAAAGATCTCATCGCAGTGCAATTTTCCGGCAACTTCGTCTTGTTCCCAGGGTTCATCACTGCTACAATGGTATTGTGCATATACCAATACATCCATCAGATCCGAAACCCTTGTGCGACCAAACCCCAGAAATCCAGACCCATCGGAACAGAAAAGTCGGTCACCGTGTGTCTTTCTGGTTGACGACTCAAGATTGATTTGCGTTATCTCCTCATCGGTAAATGTTGTGCAAAAACCAACAATACCATCTTGTTCGGAAAAGTTAGGCGACAAAACCCCAGTCAATCGCTCCGGCCGAAAGTCACTCGCTCCCCTCCACGCGCCGCCAGAACTAGGGTTCCGACGAGCTACAGTTCCTTTTCCGGTGTGTGTGAGCCATTCCGGCCACTTTTTGACAAAACGTCTTCTAGACAACTTACTCGTCCAGTGATTCTGAGCCTACCCATATAAATTACATCAAATTCTGACAACTTCTATTTTTTCCAGCGTGAACAATGCACTTTCTGTTTATCAGCAACCACCTGGTTTTGTTGCTCAGGGGGAATCTAGTGGCCTTGTATGTCGCTTGCTCCGGTCACTTTATTGTCTAGAGCAGTCTCCTCGAGTCTGGTTTGGTAAGTTCAACATAGTTATCCAGGAGTTTGGCATGACTCGTAGTGAAGTCGAATGATCAGCTTGCAGATATTTTCACCAAGTCCCTCGCTGGACGCTGGTCATCGCATTAGTTACATATGTAACAAGCTCGGTACATATGATTTGTATGAACTGGCTTGAGGGGAGTGTTAGATAGTTATGTGTAAATAATCCTAGTTCCATATGTAGTAGGAGTAGAATATTTCTTAGTCCTATATGTAGTAGGAGTAGAATATGTCCTAGTCCCATATGTAGTAAGAGTAGAATATGTAATATTTATAGGGCTCATTGTATCATTGTTAAAATAAAAGATTTTTCTCCCGTGTATTCTCACAGCTAGCGTAGGATAATAAAGATTGATTCACATCTTTATCTCTTCACATGTGTTTTCTGCTATTATTTGTTTAATTTTTGCTCCACCTCTTGAAATACTGGAACTGTAGACTGCTTCATGTGTATCTGAATGCTTAGGGACTTGATCTTACTTCCTAGTTCCTAAGTCTTTGGGTTTCGTGGCGCTGTGAGAATTCAGTGAAGGAAAATACTTCATCAATAAATTGTTTCTTGTAGGTTGAAGGAGCCATGTACTTTTCAAAATTTCTTTTGCTTTTTGTTTTTTCTTTCCATTTTAGCACATTCTATTTAGATGCAGGATGAGGGTGAAGTAAGTAAAATAAGTGTCTTTTTATTCACTGTACAGTCAAACACTACCATGAGATGCAGAGATATTGAGATTCATGCGGGAAGATTACCTGAACCAAAAAAAAGTAGGAGCATTGTACTGTAGCTAAATTACTGGCTTAGACACATAATATGGAGCTCTTGGAAGAGCTTGACGTTGGTATTCCGGTTGAGCAGGTGATTTAGTTATTTAAGAATATGATAGAGATTTTATTGAGATTTCCATTATCCATAGTTAACACAATGAATAATACTGCTGTCATAACACAAAGCATGGGGTCTTGACTTGCGTGTCGATTTGTTTCTTTGGGATTCTTTGGGCATACATATGTCATTTTTGAAGTTCTATACATTGTGTGTACAAGTTGGGTCTTTCTTGGTTGCTATCTCTTTGCTTATAAAATATACTCCCTCCATTTCAATTTATGTGAATCTATTTCCTTTTCGGTCAGTGCCAAAAAAAGACCCTTTTCCATATTTGGAAACAATTTACCTTTATGCAATGATTTAATGCTACACATAATATATGTGCTTCATTTTACACCATAAGTTCAAAAGTCTTCTCTCTTTTTTAAACTCCGTGCCCAATCAAATAGGTTCACATAAATTGAAACGGAGGGAGTATAAAGTAATGTAATAGCTTTCCTGTACATACTGCACAGCATACAATTATTGTTGGTAATTAATAAAAACTCTCTCTTACTGATACCAATATATAAAGTAATTTGTTAAGTGAGGTAGCTGTGGGAAAAGAGGAACCTAGAAGCACAGGTATTCAAGATTAGGGGTTTGTATGCATCCTGAGAGCGAGATATTTATAAGGAACCGTTAACAGAAGATGCAATACGGTAGCAGCTGGTTTTCTGTCTATCGGCATCATCCACCAGTACATTTCAATCAGTGCATTGGAAAAGTACAATATATAGAAGGTTGTTCAATTAATGATCTTCATTGTTTTATGTTGTAAAATGTTCTACTGGAGAGAACTTTTTTCTGTTTGTTTGTGTAAATAAACTTGCTGTGCTCAGTTGATAGTTCCTATATATGGTTCAGAAATGAATAACTTCTTAAAATGAGAAGAGTGATAGCATCCTTCTCACCTAGCTAGTTAGTTTTAAAAAGACCCAGAACATTCCCTAGTTTTCTTCCTTTTGATAGGCAAAGTAAGGGGTGTAAAATAGCATAAGGAGAACACTGATAAAGATACACACAAAATGTAAGGACATTATAAAATGTATAGTGAACTAAGAAAGTTAATCATGATTGGGCTCTAACAGATTTGCCACAGCCATGTTGCACGAAAAACTAAGCAAGGATATACAGTTGAATTTAAGTTGAACTACAATGTCTTTCTCGTCTTCAAAAACTCGTGCATTCCTTTCCTTCCAAATACCCGCCATACAGTTGCGACGATGGAATTCCATGTTTTAGAAGAGTCATTAGTCAAGCCTTTTTATGCAGGAGGAAGTCCAAAGTAGATCTTGGCATCCACCATAAGATTTCGAGAATAATAAAAACAAAATTCCAGATTTGGGAAGAAATCCTGCAGCGAAGGAATGAATAGTTATCTTCTTCCCCCTCCTCGCAAAGTGAGCACCTATTGCATAATATGAAGCCCCTCTTTTGTAGATTATCCAATGTGAGGCATTTGCCTTTTGCAACAATCCAAGAGACACATTTGACCTTGTAAGGGGCATTTTGCTCGAATTGTTTCCAAGGCCAGGGAACCAAACCAAAGGGTGAGATAGTGAGGGTGTTGTAGCAGCTTTTTACAGAGAAGTTTACTTTAGTGTGGGGTTTCCAGAAGATGTACTCAGAAGTTTTGTGGCAAGGAATTATTGAGGAGAAGGATCAACTGCATGTTGTCCTTGAATTCCGAATCGTTGAGATTTCTTCTGAGTGGTATGGACCATCCCTTTTCTTGTGTGCCAATCACTGCATTCTGAGAGATGGAACAACGGTAGAGAATAGGGGAAGTGTCTGGTATAGTGTCCGAGCCATGAATCATGCAAAACCTGTTTTTTCTTCTGTCGCCCACCACAATGGATAACGTGAAAGCATCCATGTAATCTTCCCTAGCTTTGCTCATCTGGAGAAAACAACTAGCCTCGCTTATCCTTGATAAGATCATAATCTGGTGCCTCCTGAAGGGTCCAAGTGAGGATTGCTTCATAAGCCTTGCAATGTCATTTACCATCTTACTGGCCAGGACTTGATCTATTAATTAGGATCTGAATGTGTTCCAGACAATTGACAGTCCCTTCACTTATGTTGAAAAATGCTTGGGATCTTTACTTCTCACTGGGGAAACAAAATAATGATAACAAATTCGTATGCAGTGGGTCCTTTTTGCGTATTTTTCGTTCTTGAACATTTGTTGTTGGGTAGATAGCGCTAGTTAGACATTCCTCTTTGGTAGTTGTTTATAAACTATACCTACATACTGTGTTTGATCTAGTTAAGCTTGGTGTTTCCATGTTCTTGAATTCATTTTCGTTTCCTATATTCTTCCTTGTTATGGAGATAAGTTTGTGCTTGTAGCTAATTTCCCTTTTACATGTGTAGAAGCCGGAATCATGGTGTACGTATCTTGAGATATATGGCTTCTAAAGGGTATAAGTCTAAGCCGGACCATGAAATACGTGTTCGACGTCCAAAGGTATGAATTGGATCTTAGTTGCAATCATTCTTATATTTAGAAGCTATCGTCTGAAGTCTGAATTTTTCAATTGTGTTAATCCTGTTTCTTATTGATCCAGTTTCTTTTATATCTGCATTCTCAAAGTGGATGGGGTTGTTTCTCTCTCTCTTTTTTTTTTTCCCCCTCTTTTTTGGGCAAGCAAGAAGACTCTTTTTGATTTGTGCACTATTCCTTTTTTGGTGCTTAGGCTGAGCAAGTATCCATGATGTTAGCAACTTAGCATAGCAGTATGCATATAATGTGAATGGATTGGACTGCTGAACCTAGGAAAATCTAAGCATTGTGGTTGGTGGGTGATAGTCCAAACCCTGGCAGTGGTTTTTCAGCCATGTAATTTGGAGTTTTCTTGGTTGAATGTGCCTATTTTAAAGGCATTCTAGTACAGCTGCAAATGGCACTTAGGCACTATAGTGAAATCATCTAGTGGGTGGAATACGCTATTGTGCAACAGTACGTTGACGAAATTCCACCATGTAAATCAGTCATGTGCAGAAGATGTTTTCAATTCTTTATTCCTGAAGGGTATCTTAATTTAAAGTTCACACAAGGGAATCAAGTATACTTTTAACTATTATCAATTTAGGCCAGAAGGTCTTATCCAGAATGGAGGCTGTTCATAATTTTGTTTGGACTGAGCCCTTGGAAGTATCAGCAGTCGATGTGAAAGAGTTAATAAGTAGAGCAATTAGCTGCTGCTATGATGTCTATTAATGTCTGGATGCTTCTTTGTTTGAAAGCAAACTGGATACCATCCTAGAAGATGCCCAAATGCTCTAATTATTGGAGAATGACAAAGATAACTGTGAAGAGCAGTATATTACCGTTCAGGTCCATGCATTTCATTAATGTTTTTTTTTGGACTTCTCACTTGATTGATCCAAGGGTGCAAATTGCTCCTTTTAGTGCATTAGTTCATTAAACTTAATATCACTTTTGTTTTCTCTTTTCTTGTTCTCTAATACTCTTGACTGGAACATGCTGATGTATTACACACTTGGACTCTGGCATCTTTTTAATGATTACAACTTGCCATATGGCCTATTAGTGTTGTGATTGATTGTTCTGCACATGCTTTTGTCACGTGACTAACCAATTGCGATTATTGCTATGCAATGTAATCTTAGTGATACTCGACAAAGAAATAGGCAAAAAAACACTCTTTGAAATAACGAGAACGAAAAAAAGAATAAAGAACTATCTAACCTTGCCTTCCTATGAGCTCCTAGGAAAGAGACCCTACACCCAAGAAAAGTAGCTTAAGAATATTCTATAAGAGAGGAGGTTCTTTCTTGACCTAGTTAATAAGGATGGGGGAATATGGAAAGATAAAATGTGAAACATAATACAAACCACTAGTTTTAGTGGAACATTTAAAAAAAATATGGGAAGATAAAATGTGGAACATAATACAAATCACTAGTGTTAGAATCTATTGAACCCAATTTTTTCCCCAAGCAATTGTGTGATATAGGTCATGTTCTTTCTTGCTCTTGAGAGATATAATTGAAACGGATCTACCTAATCAGTAAGTTAGATGTTCAGATATCCTCATAAAAGATCTACCGAGTTAGTAGGTTAGATGTATGGATGTACTGATGGAATTTGTTCAGTCATAAGTAGGTCATAATTGTCCTATCATAGTCTTATAGGATAAGCTCTGGTAGCTACATGAATGAATAATCAGGGGGTACCTTGTTACTTGTGTTCTACAGTTTCCGTTGCTTATTTTCTTGATTTGTATTTAGGGTCTTGAAGCACCTAAAGAACCTCGACGACCTAAAACACACTGGGATCATGTTCTGGAAGAGATGGTCTGGTTGTCAAAGGTATAGAAAGTCCCTAGTTCGGGAGCAATTGTCTAAGCTCTTAGATTAATTTCAATGAAGTTATTCTAAGGAACATATCTTATTTACAGGACTTTGAATCAGAGAGAAAGTGGAAGTTGGCTCAGGCAAAGAAGGTTGCTATACGAGCTAGCAAGGGAATGCTTGATCAGGCGACACGGGGAGAAAAGCGAGTTAAGGTTGATGTTTTATTCTCTTCTCCCTGCACGTGAATATTGTCATATTTAGTGACCAAAACTTCAGTATTTTTACATTCTTTGCTAATTACATTGCTAAATTTTACTTATTTCTCTTCTATAATATGCCACCAGGAAGAAGAGCAACGTTTGCGAAAAGTTGCACTCAATATCTCAAAGGACATCAAAAAGTTCTGGTTAAAAATAGAGAAGCTGGTAATTCATTATCTGCAGAATTTTCTGACGCAGTTGTTTTCTCCACTCCAAGTAATCTTGAGATTTGACAGAGATTGTTCCCATGTTTTTCATATTTCAGGTTCTTTACAAGCATCAATTGGAGCTGGATGAGAAGAAGAAGAAAGCACTTGACAAGCAGCTAGAGTTCCTTCTTGGACAAACAGAAAGGTTCAGTCCTTTTCCATTTTTCTATCCTGCTTTACTGACGCCATTTATATTGCTAGGAAGACCCTTTTATTTGCTAAGAAAAGATGTACTAATTGTATACACAATGAACAACATGATCATCCCTGATAGCTATGAATTGAGGTTTAGTTTGTTGATTGAGTGATCGATTGACCTAATGAATAACATGATTAGGCATTCTTCTTGTGTTTATCGCAGGTACTCAACAATGCTTGCAGAGAACCTTGTAAGTTCACCAACTACCAGCAAACGAATCAATTCTTTGTCTGCACCAGAAGCCTTGAGAACTCAATGTAAAGAAGGGAGTGAAGGGGATGTAAAGAATCGTGTTGGAGAAAATCTTCGTAAGTACATTCACTAGATTTCTGACCAATATTGACAAGCGTTTTGGCAATATTCTCCCCTCAGTTTCTTCCTTAAACTGAAATTTCAGAATCTCATTCGACTGGTAGTGATATTGATGACGATTTTGATGTGCAGTCTGAAGACGAAATGGTAAGCTTTCAAATAGCAATAGTGGAGTTTGATACTGTGCTTATTTATGATAGTAGGATCTTGAAGCCTTACAAGTCGCTCATTGTTATCATTTGAAAGGTGTTTGATTTGACATGTATTCATGAAATACTTGAATGCGAGGAGCAGAATGAAATATTTATACTTGAGCTAGAAACCAAAGTAGTGATCATAGCACTTTGTGTGGCTTGAATATTAAGCTAATTTTAGGAAACTAGCTTTGAGGCCAATTTTCTGATGATACAAGTTTTGGAGAATTTTCTTCCTCTCTGCCCCCTCTCTTTGTTCCGAAGGGTGGTGTTTGTACTGCGCAATTGATATCAAAGCCCTGAATAGAGCTTGATTTTGTTTGCAAATAAGACCAAATCAATATGTTGATCTTTATGGCGAATTAAAATGTACTTAGATGACCTTGCAGAGTATAACATTATTAATACATGTTAATGCAATCATCTAATCCAAATGGCAGGCAATAACTTTATGGGGGCGCCAGTCGTTTCAGACCTTTAATTTCTTGAAGCAGTTGTGTGGATTCTCATAACCAAGGTCATAACATATAATGTTGAATTTTTTGAGCACTCATTATTTTCATCATGGACGATCTTTTTTCGTGAAGAATGTCAAGGATGAAGCCTTCTTATACTAGAGTCGTCTTTTTGTTCCAGAACTCAAGTGTCAGGAACTTACCTCCAGCTACTTCAAATAGTGTGCAAAATTTAAATTTTAGCATCTTTTAGCCTTAAACATCCAAAGCAAGAAACAATAATTTGGTATTTAGAAAGTTCAAGTACCTTGTATAAAGGAATTCAAGGAGTATGAAAACATACAACGTCTGTGCACACATAACGGGGAGATGATTTGAAATTGACTGTTGTTTTCTATTTCTGTGTGGCTTCACTCTTGTTCTGGCATTTTTTAGGTTGAGAATCGAACAGGGATCTGACTGCAACCATTTTTTTGGGATAAAGATTTGACTGCAATCATCTGATTTCTATGAAAACATTGGTAGTCGTTGTTGGTAGGATATCATTCTGCTCTGGAGCTGATGTACCAGAGATTTTGTGTTATGGTATATTATCTATTGCATTGGTCAAGTCAAAAACCATGTTGGTTTGATTTCTGTACTTGCAAGTCGTCTGTAGACTATAGAAGTCTCTGATGAGTTACCGATCTTTGTAGTGATTAATCGAATTGAGCTCCCACGTCCTTTTTGGGTTGGGTTTGAGAAGGGGGCTCTTATCAACATCGTTTATTCATTTGATTAATCTGAAGTATTTATGTGGTCCTTTATCTGTTCCTATGGCTTAATTGATTGTCTTTTTCCTTATTAGCTTCTCTAGTTTTGAATTATAGCCATGTGAACCATTATTGTTTGGGGGGGGAGGNAGCATACCATTGAAGAAGATGAGGCTGTTATAACTAAAGAAGAAAGGGAAGAAGAGTTAGCTGCTTTACAAAATGAAATGGATCTACCTCTTGAGGAGCTTCTTAAGCATTATGCAGTTGGGGAAGGTACAATATGGCTGATTGAGTTATGCTAAAGCATTTCACATTCATGCCTCTTCCATCTTTCTAATTTGACAAGTTTCTGTATCATCTGACTGTTGGGAGGAAAATGAGCTATCTTGTCTTATGTCTCCTTGTTTTAGGATAATCCCATGTTTTTTGTGAAGTATCATCAAAAGTATGTGTTTGATTTAGTTTAATCGATCTGAACTTTCAGCTAGCAGAGATTGTAGCCCAGAGAAGAGTGGTACAGATATTACAGTCAGTTCTGGCGAGGACAGTGATAAATGTGAGTGGATCTGCCACTTTGTGTATTGCTAATTATAAAGTCATGGAACTCTCCATGAATTCAAATAATGATGTTGTACAGGTAGAGATGATGATATTGCTATTGAAACCAACGGGGGCTGCTTGCCTGCAATTTCTGGTCGTCGTTCTGTAAGTTGTATGTGTTTATGGTTACTGCTTTGACTTCTATATCGAGGTAAGTGGTCAAGGTGATGTATATGCTTTCTGGTACTTGCAGGTTGAAAGTAATGGCGTCTTATCAGTACCAAATAACCAGTATCCTGACCTAGGGCAAAACAAGCTAAAAAATCCTCCGAAGAAGTATCAAGAGTTAGATAAAGTTAATTTGTTAGGTGTCTTTAATGAAGAACAGGTGAAGATGCTTATCTAATTCTTCTTAGTAAACCTCTCAGTATCAATTATCAATATTGCAACGCTGGTTCAAGAAGTACTCTGCAGAAATTTTTCTTTAGCTAACATCCAAGAAAACTTAGTTCAACTTAATTTACCGCTTGCATTACTTATCATTAAAAAACTATGCTTTGCAATATGGATGTTTGTGTATATTCGTTTTTGGAATTTTAATGTGATGCTTGACCATCAATTACGATTTATTGCTTTGTCATAGAGAAGCTGCACTTCTGTGGTCCTCCTTCAATGCGGGCTCAATTGATGATAGCATTGAGTATTGAATATCAAGATTTTTGAGGGAGCTTCGAGTGTGAATTACTTATGAAGAAAAAAATTAAAACTTTCATCTTGCATTTTCATGGAATGCAGTGTTTTTATATCAGAAGCTGGTTTGGTTGGTCTCCTTAGTATGCATCATGATGAGTATCTTCAGTTTTTCATACCCTTCTCCGATTTTTCTCCATTTTATGTAGGATGATGATGATTATGTCCTTGCTGTTGGTGAAGATAAAGAATATAATATGGTAAGGCAATAACTGCTATATTGTTCAGTTGGTTGGAGAGCTTCAACTTGTCTGAGACAAAGTTTCATCATTTTAATTTTTACAGTTCATTTTTTATAGTGTTCTCTAATTTCTGAGACGAATTTGTGGCTAATAGCTTCTGTTGCCTTATCTAGACTTTGAGATTGCTTAAATATTTAATTACTTTGCGTGGTATTGATAGGATGATGAAACAACTATGTCAGAGGAGGAAGAATTGGCAAAGGCAGAGCCAAATGATTCTGCAGATGAGGTAAAAACTCACTATTTTGACCTTCATAACTGAAATTCTGATGCATTCCATTAAACATAGACCTGGTCCAGTTTTCCCCTCACGTGTAATGGAGCTTCAAAATTGTTGAACATCTCGTTTGATTTCTTGCGCTAAATTCTCAATTTTCAGATTGCACTGTTGCAGAAGGAGAGCGAACTTCCTTTAGATGAGCTCCTTGCTAGGTATAAAGAGGTATGTGGTGCTCTCCTCTTCTGTAGGACTTGGTTTACATTTTATTCTTACCACTATCACCTTTCGCTTGTTAGGATTATGATACTGATGAAAATGTGGGGGACGATTCTGAATCATATGCGTCTGCTTCAACAGCACAAAATGAATCTGAACTGAGTCAAGTAAATGATGGACCGAGCGATGTACTGCCCACTACAGTCACTGAGACAGAAGAAAGGGAAGTTGAAAGCATGGATAAAACAGGGGAAGAAAGGCAGAGTGAGGATTTTTCGGGATCGCCAGCAAAAAATGAATCTGAACCCAATCAAGTAAATGATGGACCGAGCGATTTACTGCCCACTACAGTCACTGAGACAGAAGAAAGGGAAGTTGGAAGCATGGCTAAAACAGGGGAAGAAAGGAAGAGTGAGGATTTTTCAGAATCGCCAGCAAAAAATGAATCTGAACCCAGTCAAGTAAATGATGGACCAAGCGATGTACTGCCCACTACAGTCACTGAGATAGAAGAAAAGGAAGTTGGAAGCATGGATAAAACAGGGGAAGAAAGGCAGAGTGATGATATAATTGCTGATGCAGCAGCTGCTGCCAGATCAGCACAACCAACGGGTAACACCTTCTCAACAACCAAAGTGCGGACTAAGTTTCCCTTCCTTCTAAAATTTCCCCTTCGTGAGTATCAACATATTGGTTTGGACTGGCTTGTAACCATGTATGAGAAGAAACTTAATGGGATCCTAGCAGATGAAATGGGTTTGGGGAAGACTATCATGACAATTGCTCTTCTTGCTCACCTAGCATGTGAAAAAGGAATATGGGGTCCTCATCTTATTGTTGTCCCAACTAGTGTCATGCTAAACTGGGAGACTGAGTTTCTTAGATGGTGTCCTGCTTTCAAAATTTTGACATATTTTGGCAGTGCAAAAGAGCGAAAGATTAAAAGGCAAGGTTGGTTGAAGCCAAACTCGTTTCATATGTGTATCACAACTTACAGACTTGTTATACAGGACTCCAAAGTTTTCAAGCGTAAGAAGTGGAAGTACTTGATTTTAGATGAAGCTCATCTAATAAAGAATTGGAAATCGCAAAGATGGCAAACACTTCTCAATTTTAACTCAAAACGGCGTATTCTTTTGACTGGTACACCATTGCAGAATGATCTCATGGAGCTGTGGTCTCTAATGCATTTCTTGATGCCACATATTTTTCAATCTCACCAGGAATTCAAAGATTGGTTCTGTAATCCTATATCTGGAATGGTTGAGGGACAAGAAAAGGTTAATAAGGAAGTTGTTGATCGCTTGCATAATGTCCTTCGTCCCTTTATTCTCCGCCGGTTGAAGAGGGATGTGGAGAAGCAGCTTCCTTCAAAACATGAGCACGTCATTTATTGTAAGCTATCAAGGAGGCAGCGTAACTTGTATGAAGACTTTATTGCCAGTTCGGAGACACAAGCTACTCTTGCTAGTACAAATTTTTTTGGCATGATAAGTGTTATAATGCAACTTCGCAAAGTGTGCAATCACCCTGATTTATTTGAAGGGCGTCCAATAGTGAGCTCCTTTGATATGAGTGGTATTGATATGCACTTGAGCTCTTCCATTTGCTCGATGCTGTCTCATGGTGTCTTTTCAACTGTCAACCTTGGGGCTTTGGGGTTGTTGTTTACACATCTTGATTTTTCAATGACCTCTTGGGAGAGTCATGATGTTCAATCCATTGCGACCCCTTCAAGCTTGATTGAGGGTCGTGTGTCTCAAATTTATGGTGAAGAAACTTCACTAGTACTTAGACGGAATAAGAAGTTTCATGGGACAAACATATTTGAAGAGATCCAAAAGGCACTTGCTGAGGAGAGGCTAAGAGAAGCAAAGGAGAGAGCGGCATCTATTGCATGGTGGAATTCCATCAAGTGTAAGCGGAAACCTGTATATTCAACAAGTCTTCGGGAGATTGTCACTGTGAAACATCCTGTTCACGGTATTTACTGTCAGAAAAGTAATCCCTTGTCATACCTGTACTCCTCTAGGCTTGCAGAATTGATACTGTCGCCAGTTGAGAGATTCCAAAAAATGGTTGATCAGGTTGAAACTTTCATGTTTGCAATCCCTGCTGCACGTTCCCCAGCACCTGCTTGCTGGTGCAGTAAACCAGGTACTTCCGTATTTTTCAGTCCAACCTTTAAGGAGAGATCTTCTAAGGTTCTCTCTCCGCTTCTCACTCCTTTTCGCCCAGCCATTGTTAGAAGGCAAGTCTACTTTCCAGATAGGCGGCTCATACAATTTGACTGTGGAAAGCTGCAGGAGCTTGCAGGTTTGTTGAGACGACTAAAATCAGAAGGTCACCGTGCACTAATTTTCACCCAAATGACAAAGATGCTTGATGTTTTAGAAGCTTTCATTAATTTGTATGGTTACACTTACATGCGTCTGGATGGTTCTACTCTGCCCGAACAGAGACAAACTTTGATGCAACGGTTCAACACAAATCCAAAGATTTTCCTTTTTATTTTATCAACCCGTAGTGGTGGAGTTGGCATCAACTTGGTGGGGGCAGACACAGTCATCTTTTATGATAGCGACTGGAATCCAGCTATGGATCAACAAGCTCAAGATCGCTGTCATAGAATAGGCCAGACCCGTGAAGTACATATTTATCGATTGATAAGTGAGAGTACCATTGAAGAGAATATTTTGAAAAAAGCAAACCAGAAGCGAGCTCTGGATGATTTGGTTATACAGGGTGGAAGTTACAACACTGAATTCTTCAAGAAACTGGATCCAATGGAATTGTTCTCGGGCCACAGAGCACTTTCCTTAAAGAACATTGAAGGACAGAAGAATAGCAATGATACTGAGGTTCAGCTCTCTAATGCTGATGTGGAGGCTGCTCTGCAAAATGTAGAAGATGAAGCGGATTACATGGCTCTGAAGAAAGTTGAACAGGAAGAGGCAGTAGACAATCAGGAGTTCACTGAAGAAGCAATTGGTAGGTTGGAAGATGATGAACTTGGTAATGATGATGAGATGAAGGCTGATGAGCCTGCTGATCATGAAGTCCCGGTTACAACATCAAGCAAAGAACTTGTGGTTATGTCAAATGCTAGTAATTTATTAAAAGAACAAGCAATTACTTTTGCTGGTAAAGACGATGACATTGACATGTTGGCCGATGTCAAACAGATGGCAGCAGCTGCTGCTGCTGCAGGACAAGCTATCTTGTCTTTTGAGAGTCAGTTATGTCCAATTGATTGGTATGCTGTACGTTTTCTGGAGTTATGGGACCCTATCATAGACAAGACAGCTATTGAGTCACAAGGTCATTTTGAAGAAACTGAATGGGAATTGGATAGAATTGAGAAATTGAAGGAAGATATGGAAGCAGAGATTGATGATGATGAAGAACCTTTAGTTTACGAAAGTAAGCTTATCTTAACCCCTTCATAACTGTTTGTCTTATTATTTGTTTCGAGAAAATATTTGACCTAGCAATCTATATAAGAAAATTTTCAGACCAAAATAGTTTGTAGTCTTACATGCGAGGAATATGATCAAATTTGGCCTTCGATGCTGGTCATTAATTGGATCAATACTATGATTTGAAACAAAAATGTTTTACTGGTAGTTATACCAAAAATTATCTTAGATATTTGAGGTTGCAAGCATTTTAATTTGCTGAATATATGCTTTTAAGAATGAACTTCAAATGAATAACGTTCCTGTTAATGTCAGGATGGGATGCTGATTTTGCAACTGAGGTATACAGACAGCAGGTTGAGGCTTTGGCTCAACATCAGGTCAGTAATTTTGTGATACTTTGGGTCATTTCTCCTGTCACCCTTCTCCTTTTGTCCTTTATAAAATCTGAAGGTTTCACATCTGTTCTTTTGGAATAACTTACCTTATAATACGACAGTTGATGGAGGAACTGGAAGCTGAAGCTAAAGAGAAGGAGCTTGCAGAATATGAGAACTTGATGGGGTAAGTGATTCCTGTAATAATAAGTAGTGTTTCCTATAGTTCTTTCATTTCTTTTGTGTTTTCTTTCTGAGATAATTAAGAGTCTGCACGTCTTTCTTCTTCTATTCTGAATCTTTACTATTCCTTATCTTTTCTTTTGGAATCTTGATTGTCAATTATCTTACTTGACTTTATCTAGCTTTTATCCCTTTGTTGTAGGATGTCATTTGTGCCTCCATGTATCAATATTTTTGTGTCATTAGTAGTTAAGGCATACATAGTGAGATTCGCTGTTTCTTCTTTCCTCGTGCTTTGCGAGATTTCTTCCGGAGCTTTTGTGTTATATATAGTGACTCAATCCAATGAATTATTGTGGTTTGATGGAGTGAACTTTGGATGAGGGCTTTGTTGTGTAGATATCTATTCCTTTAGGTAATTTTCTGTACCATCTTGGTACTTTTATCAATAAAAGTTTACCTTATCAAAAAATAAGAACTTTGGATGAGGGCTTTCCACTTAAAGGAGATTGATTATACCTGTTCAGTAAGAAAGTGTCATAATTGGAAATGTATTATTGTCTTCTTGTACGGTTTTGTACAATCCTCACCTTACAAGCTAGTATTTAAGGTTGAGTTATGCCCAAGATGATATTAGAGCTAAATCCATCCCTATTCTTGATTTATCCAACGTTAGGTCCGCATATTGTGTTGTCGAGACACATGATGCCTGGTCCTGAACTTACAGGCGGGTTTGGGGATTAAGTGTCTTACATTGGCCGAGGGAATGAGTTGTTTTTCTTATATACTCTTGGACAATCCTCACTTCATGAGTTAGTTTTTTGTGGTCGAGTTAGGCCCAGGGTCCATTTTAGCAGTACCATGCTACAATGATAGTGGTTGTACCCACCAGAGACAGAACAATCGAAGTTCTGGTGTATGTGCTTTCATACCCATTGTTGGTTGGTGGAAAAATGGCAAAAGGTCTAAAACTAAATCTGGAGTATCGGAATTGGTACACAAATGCCGTCCCTCCACCTATTTGAATAAATGCCCCCACCCTCATTTTTTGGCTCAGCCTTACCCTTACTACTAACGGCCCTTTCAGAAAAAAAAAACTTATTTCATATCCACGTGTCTTAAATCCATTGGTCTAACTTAAACCTCAACCCAAATATTCAAACCCGCTCGTAACCCGCCCACACCCCCAATTTTAAACCCTATTAATTCAAAATTTTAAACTCCATTCGATCACCTCACCTCCTCTAGAACATCGCTAGAACATCACCAGAAGAATCACATCCAACCAAAAAAAGATGAGAAAGAATAAAAGAGAACTTAAGAGAGGAGATTAGAACAAAAAAAGTTTCATTTATCAATTTTTCCGGGAAAATTACTTCAACATCTTTAACACCAATAAAATAGTGATCTAGGGTGGAACTCTAAAAAATCTGCACAAAAATATCAAATTATTGGATTCCAAATCATCAAAAATTTTCGCAGAACCAGAAAAAACTATTCCGAGAATGTGATTGTACTTAAATGGAAAAACCCAAATGATGATCCCATTGATTGATTATAACCGGAAAAAAGTACCTTCTCCAACTTTAAGGAGCTTCAATCTTTAAGAATGAAAAAATCATCATTGGACCCATTTGACAAAAATGAAATAATACCCATCTACAATGTTAGTTGAGAAATGAATCCCAACAATTAAAACTAAAAAACGGAAAAGAAGATGAGAGAGAGAGAGAGAGAGAGAAACAGTGAAAAGTAGGTAGACTTTTACATAGAAATGCTCTGAACATATGAAATTGACACGGTTTTTTTGGGGGGGGGGGGGGTGACAGATGGAAATGGTGATTGGTGGGGTAGGGTGGATGGAGAAGACAAGGGTTTAAAATTGGGACGGGTCAATTATTGGGCGTGTTACAGGTGGGTTTGTATTTGGGTTGGGGTTTAAGTTAGGCCAATGGGTTTAGGACACATCGATATTAAATAAGTTTTTTTCCCTTCAAAAAGGACTAGTAGTAGCAAGTGTAAGGCCGACCCAAAAAACTAATGGTGGGGGCATTTTTATTCAAATAGGTGGACAAGGAAATTTTGTACCAATTCCGATACTCTAGGGTAGTTTTGGCCCTTTTTCGTTCATGATATTTGGGATCATATACAATTAATTTAATAAGTTTAATTATAAATAATTTAAGTAAAATTTTGGTTTTTTTTATCTTTTTTATTTTTCAGCTTTATACTTTTCCCTATCTATATAATTGAAGTAGATTCAGAATTAAGGTAAGGAATTAGAAATATGAAAATAAGAGCTTCTCTTCATAAAATTTGTGAGAAAAGTTGACTAATCCATAACCGTAGGTGAGCTGAAAGAGCTCTCACAAATAGAATTTTAGTACGGTGGAAAAAGCTAGCTGGCTCATGAAGTGGACGTGTAGGTGAGGCTGGATACACAAGTCATCCCCAAGAGAGGAAGTTATAGTTATCTTGGGTTAGTTATCCAAGGTAGTGGGGAGATTGACGAGGATGTTACCTATTGTTTTGGGGGGAGTGGATGAAATGGAGGCTCACATCCGGTATTTTGTGTGATAAGAATGTGCCACCTAAACTTAAGGGTAAATTCTATAGAGTGGTGGTTAGACCGACCATGATGTGATGTGGAGTGTTGGCTAGTCAACATGTCTAGAAAATAGGTCTTCTCTTTTTTCTTAAACTATAGGTTCACATAAATTGAAACAGAGGGAGTATATCAGTAGATAGATAAAATAAATATAGATATGTAATAACAAGGAAATATAGGCACCCAAAAATAGTAAGGAAATATATGTCTAACATAGCAAAACATATTGATTTCCTAATACCTAAATTACGAACCTAACTAACATTATTTGTACTAAAAATAACAAATAAATGGTAGAATGAAAGCTTATTATTACGTATAAAAAGAAATATATAGGAAGTTATAAAATATTAACAACCGATAATAAGGTCAAGAACAACAAAAAGGAACATACATCAATATCTCCTTGTAGAAAATCGTCTTACAGAGCAGTTAAAGCCTAAGTTAAAGCCTAAGTTGCTTGGACTCTTCACTTTGGGTGCCGCACCAGTGTTGACACGATGTGGGTGTGGGTTACATACCAGATCAGGTCAACCGATTTTGGGTACTTTGACCAAAATCGACGGAGGTATTCAGGACATACACAATGATTTTAGAAATCAAAACAAAAGTTAGGGTGAAATTAAAGAAAATTATTTTGCCAATATTTTGAAGTTTTTTAGCTTTTGAAATGCTCTCAGGCACTCTTTTCGAGACTCTTCTCTCTCCTCCCCTCTAGGAGGGAGAATCTCTCCTCCGGTTTTCTCCCATCGGAGATACCTCTCTCTCTTTCTTCCCCTCCCTCTGTTATCTCTTTTCAAGGAATCACCTTCTGTGGTTGTTTTCTCCATTCTTATCCCTATCCAAGGTTTTGGAATGGGCGAGAACAGGATTTACTTTAATACTGGGTTCAAATCTTTTGATATTACCAGGTGGTCTGCTAGCAACTCAGAGTGTTACGAATGGGTTGAGAGAAGTCGCACGATGATGAGGAGATCGACCATGAGCAAAAAGATCGTGGAATGGATTTGCTTCTCACTTCAAGAGGCCTCAAAGGACCAAAATAGAGTGGTCACGAGATGGAAAATTTCAGAGCAGGACTCGGAGCACTTTTGCACCAGGAAATTTAACGAGCATGGGAGATACATGAGTATTCTGTCATTAAATGGTGGAGGGAGATCAGTACTTATTATTCCTGAACCAGTCTTTAATGCAGGTTGGAATGAGGTAGCATTTAAGATCAACAACTTCATTAAATACTCAAAAAAGTAGCAGTAGTTGCTCCCCCAAGATTAACTGAGGCCAACTATCCTTATAAGAAGGCTGTACAAGATAGTAAATGGCAGACTAGGAGTCTTCGAGAAGCAGAAGTGACTTGCAACAGTGGAAATATTGACATCTCTGAATCTGCTAATGAACAAGAGAATGGGCCTTTGAAGAGATGTTTAGTGGGGAGTTTTGGAGAAGAGGTGAAGGAAAAACCCACACTTGCTGACATAAGAAGGTGGTCAACTTCAACTTGGAAAAATGTTTTTGGGGTGAACATCTATGAGATGTACGGGGATTTGTTCTTATTCGAATTCCCTAATAGATACATGGCTGAGAGTACCATTCTAGGGCAATGGTTCTGGAAAAAGCTCAGGTTGCAATTAGAATGGTGGAACCCCATGGCAGGGTATATTTCAAATGCTATTGAAATCAAAGAAACCTGGATTAAAGTAGTAGGAATTCCACTTCATCTCTGGTCGCAGAGAAGTTTTCAAGAAATAGGCGAATTCTGTGGAGGATGGGTGGCTACTGAAGAAGAAACAGAGCTAAAAAATCATCTGAAGTGGGCCAAAATTTTGGTAAGGAACAATGGGAGGAATCTACCAAGAGAGGTATCCATAACTTGTAAAGGAATCACTCATCACATTCCAATCTGGCCGGAAAGCAAGACAAGATATGAAGTCTCACTGGAATTAGCAGAGGGAGGCATTAGAGAAGAAGATACAGTGCAAGAACCAGGTATTGCCTTTACCCAGAGGGAAAATAAGGTTACCAACTGTGCTATAGTACAAAAATACCCTTCTTACATGGATTTCGAAGACAGAAAACATGTGGGTGGTACTTCTTTGACAGCTGGAAGATATGTGAAAAAAAATGCATGTGAGAAGCAGGTGGCAGGGTTTAATGAAGCAACTAAAATGGGCCAGCAAGCTAAGCCCAATAAGGAGGCTGCTTTTAATAATTCTTTTGGGCCAGACTTTGCAGGCCAAGTCATTTTTAATGACTTAAAAAGTCCCACTTCACAAGATTTACCCAACAATCATAGCTATAGAAAATTGGGAAGTGGAAGAGGCTGAACCTCTTCTCATTCAGCAACAACAAGTCATTCAAGTCACAGCAAGGGAGACATCACTATGGGTCCAAAAGAATTTGATCAAGCCGGGCAAATTACTTGGGATAGATTTCCATGGGCATGAAGAGGAGGCCTTGGAATTGTTGTTACAAGTAGATAGTTGCAGACATGCTAGAAAGATGAAGTCTGACAGTGTATGTAAGAAGACAAGATTCAAAGGGGAACAAGAATTAAAAGGTCTAGTTAATTTCGATGTTAAATTCAAGAGCGAGGGGGAAAGGAGTAGGGGGAGGAAGATGCTTACCTTGGATCCATGCAGTTCAAAATAGTTTCATGGAATGTAAGGGGATTGAATGACAGGGATAAAAGGAGAATTGTGTAGAGTTTGGTAGTTGACTGGAAGGCAGACATCATATGCTTCCAAGAGACTAAACTAGAGGGGGACATTAGAGAGATTGAGTGTGGGGAGGAAGATGGATCAGATTTGCTCACTTGGAGGCTAGTGGCACTAGAGGGGGTATCATGATGATGTGGGATTGTAGAAGCTGGGAGGGGGAAGTTCTGGAAACGGGTTGCTACACTTTGACTTGCAAGTTTGTGGCACATTTTCAGAATTTTTCATGTCATATAACTGGGGTATTTGCTCCAAATAACTACATTGAGAGAAGGATAGTGTGGGATGAGATAAGTGCAGTAAGGGGATTGATGGAAGGGCCTTGGGCTGTGTGTGGAGACTTTAATGTCACCAGATTCATTTCAGAAAAAAAGAATTGTAGGAGGAGAACAAGGGGTATGGTGGAATTTTCTGATTTCATTGAAGACATGAACTTAATTGATCTACGATTAGAAGATAGTAGCTTCACTTGGTTTAAAGGGGATAATCAAGACATGGCTTCCAGAATCGATAAGTTCCTGATTTTTGAGGAGTGGGATGATAGTTTTAGTAATATAAAACAGATTCCACTGCAAAGACTAACATCTGATCACATTCCAGTAGCTCTACAGGGGGGCACTTGGAACAGGAACAAAAACTATGTTAAATTTGAGAATTGGTGGCTAGGAACAGCTGGTTTCAAGGACAAAGTCAAAGAATGGTGGAGTTCTTTCAATTTTCAGGCAAGCCTGACTTTATATTGTCCTGTAAATTAAAAGCTCTCAAATCAAAACTCAAGGAGTGGAGCAGAAGTGAGACGAGGAATCTGGGATATCAAAGGAAGAAATTGTTAAGTCAAATGGCAGAACTGGATGAGGTGCTTGGAGACAGAATTTTAACAGAGGAAGAAACTATCAAGAAGACAGCATTATTCATGGAGTATGAAGAGTTGATAAAAAATGAGGAAATCTCATGGAGACAAAAAGAAGGTGACAAGAACACTAAGTTTTTTCACAAAGTAGCAAATGCACATAAAAGATTTAACAATATTGACCAACTGATGATACATGGAGAATTAACAGAGGAGCCATCTAGAATAGAAGAGGAAATTATTGATTATTATCAGTAGTTGTACAAAGAAACTACTCAATGGAGACATGCATGCCACTATGACAATTTCCCAGTTTTAACTGAGGAGGATAAGGAAGCTCTACAGGGTAACTTTGAAGATAATGAAGTGCTAAGTTGCTTGAAGCTATGTGCAATAGATAAAGTTCCTGGCCCAGATGGTTTTACTATGAGGTTCTTCATCAAATGCTGGGAGATAGTGAAGTATGACATCATGAATGCTTTTCAAAACTTATGACAAAGAAGTTTTTGACTAAGTTGCTCGGACACGGGTGTGGATCTAGAGGTCGGATCTTTCGAGATGTAAATTCTAAGATTCGGGGATACGGATCCTAGTACCAATACGGGTGCGGGGATCTGGCTAAAAATAATTCAAAAAAATAAAAATATAAAAATATCTCTAAATTATGAGAAATTTTGTGGAATACTTATGTATAGCTTGTAAAGTGTAGATTTCTTTTTTATTCTCAAGTTGTAGATAAGTAAATGATTGATTTCCTAGATAAGGTATGCTATTTTCTTCAAATTTACCCTAATTTTGGTTTAGATTTCGGGAATTAAATTGTATATTGTCTCGAATTTTTTCGTTCGTCCCAAAATTGTTTGACCAGATCCGGTACGGATCCCATACCCATACCCATACTAGTGTCGTGTCGACACGGGTACGGCATCTAAACTGCCATGTCAGAGCAACTTAGGTTTTTGAAAGAAGCTTCAATGCAACATTTATTGCTCTTATTCCAAAGAAGAAAGGTGCTAAGGAACTAAGGGATTTCAGGCCTATCAGCTTGATAGGTAGCATTTTACAAATTGTTTTCCAAAGTTTTGGCACAGAGACTAAAAAGGGTAATTTCACAATTGGTGGACTATCAACAAATGGCTTTCATTAAAGGTAGACAGATCATGGATGCTGTAATGGTAGCCAATGAAGCAATTGATTCTAGGTTGAAACAAAAGAAGCCTGGTATCTTGTGCAAACTTGATATTGAAAAGGCCATGTCAATTGGAATTTCCTCCTGAGCCTGCTAGAAAGAATGGGTTTTGGCCAGAAATGGATAAATTGGATTAAATTCTGCATGTCAACAGCCAGATTTTCAGTTCTTATAAATGGATCCCCAATAGGTTTTTTCAAAGCAGAAAGGGGACTAAGGCAAGGTGATCCTTTATCACCTTTTTTGTTTGTGATTGCTGTTGCGACCAAACACACTCACGCAAGTATACGCGGTCGTCAAGTAATAAAGTGACT